AGTAATCTCATTAGATTGATGCCTCCTTTCTCATACCAATGCACCCAAATATCAATCATACTTAATAAAGAAGCAACAAAATCACCAAATCCTTCTTAAGATTTCCTGATAAAAACAATCCTACAATGCAAGCACCTATCTAGTTAGCATAAACATTTGAAACATGAATTTAATGCCTCATCAGAACACAAGAACAAAGCCATCTCATGCAGAAACCTGGTGAGATGCATCCCCTAACAGCACGCCTGCAGCCTTGGAGGGAGTGTAAACAGCCTCATACCTCCTGGGCTCCTGCTGCTCTCTTAAGAGAGCACAGAGGAACACAACATATCTCACTGCTGGCTTCCACACATTCATTTAACCTAGAGAACAGATTTTAGCTTGCTTCTTGAGAATATTGGAAAAAACAAACAAACAAAAAACAACTTGTGGTATTGTTTAAATATTTTAAAAAATAATATAATCTCTTTCATGGTGACTTCATTTATGTATTTTCTGCCATGATCCATTCAATCAAATATTCCATCCTGAAAGAAACTGCACCTTTTGTCTCCAATCAGATGCTCATTTAAGCCAGGCTTAATTTTCAGTACTTGAAACATATATTGAAAGTCAAGGGCATGATTGGTGCTTTGCTGCAGGAAGACCAACATATTGGTACTTCTGAGGTCTTATCCTTTAAACAACTGCATATGCACCTGTACATCTTTATATATACAAATATTTTCACATGAACCAGCAGATTTACATGTACAGTATCAGACTTTAGTCTGGGTCACTGCAGGATACAAAGCTCACAATTCAGTGGTGACTTCTGCATAATGTGATACAGTAGAACTAAAACCCAGATGGTTATGTAAACTATGAGGTAATAATATAAAGACATTGCCCTTACTTCAGAGAAAACAGCAGAGATTCCTCACATGGGCTGCATTATCCCTTACTCATTACTCATCTGCAGGTTTGGGTGACATGGGAAAGCAGATTTAGACTGCTTGTCTTAGAAAGCAAGAGGAGATAGGATGAAATCTGCAACTCAACCCACAGTCTAATGCAGAGTCTGAATTCCTTCTTAACCCACATCTTCAGTTAACAACTCCTTGTTGTATTTCTTACAAAAGTGGCTTCTGGTAAGACCATCTCATTATATTAGCTATGTGTCATCTACCTGGTGACATGTTTTTAAGTAACAGCGAAGTTGCAGACTGAAATTAGAAAATATTATGTGATTAGAAGGGCAAAGAATGAGAACTATTCAATGGACACCACATACTACAGGTAGAAATCACTTTGGGTCAATAGGCAGTCAGATCAAAAAGCTACTGCATTCTTACACAGGTAAAATTAATACCCAACATACCTGTAACTACTAAATTGATAAGAAATGTTGGACCTCACATGCCCCAAAGGTTAAAGCAACACAGAAAGCAGCCCTGCCTCTTGCCCAGGCACCACCTGCTCTCCTCCTTCCTTGTGCAAACACCACCTAGGAATGTTCCAACTCAGTGAAGCTGGTGGGAGTGTCTGTTCTGATTTGCTGAAGAGACAGGAACAGAGCCATAGTGGAGACATCAGGACACATGTGACATCAGTGGGGCTCTGCTACCGCCGGTACTGCCACGAGCAGACAAGCCAGTGCCAGCAGATCCCACAGCTCTGCCGGGTGACATGAGCTTCTGCAGAAATGGGTTTTCTTCTGCAACAGTCAGCAAGTACTTCAGTTTGGAAGCCAAGGTGCTGTTTTCATTTGGACTGCTTTCCTAAAGCCCTTAAAAAATACTTTCTTCTTAAAAACAAGGGATTTTTTTTTTCCAGATATCATAGCAATAATATTTTTTCTTCAGACTTCCACTTAAAAATGGGCTTGTAAGGCTGAAATTAAAATTTAGTTTAACCAGTCTGAGTAAACAAAATAGCAATTTCAAGATTAGAAACATACTGATCTTTTATCACGGGAAATTTTGCATAAAGGGGATATTTGAACATACTACAAGACAGTGCCTCTAAGAATACACATTAAAAACACATTTAAAGAAAAAAAAATAGCCCATTAAATGGCTACAACTCATTCTTTATCCAGATTTGAGTGTTGGAGGATAATCACAAAAGACCTACATATGCTCAAATCAGAAATCATCACTTTTTTTCTACAGTGCTGAGATAATTCACAACTTTTTCCACATTGTCAAACTCATTTTTATATCACTAATGTCAGTACAACAGTAACTTGTAACTCTAAGATGTCTCAAACAGATTTGTTCTTCTGGCTCTTGAGACACTTTTCAATAAATACTTTCTTTGAAATGGTAGTGTGGCTCTTTGTACTTTGAATTCTGACCAGCATGAGCTCGTTTTTTCATTGATAGTTTTGAGTGTTACTAAAAATGGAACTACTCCCACCTCAAAAAATAAAATAAAATGAAAAAAAAAAAGGCAAAAACACTTTCTGAAACACTCTTGGCAAAGAGAAGTATTTTTCATTTCCTGCCTTGAAGCACTACTTTTTTTCCTTCCCCACTCTTATGTTTTTCTCTTTTCCTTCTCTTTTCTTATTCTGGCATCTGAGGAGTTATCAGAGAGAAAATAAGTGGTTTCCCTGCAGTCATGGCAGATAAGGAAATCAACCATGAATCTTGCAAGTTCTTTTGTGATACCAGTACCATGCCTTAATATTTCCTTTACTTGACAGACTGCAAGTAAGTACTTATGACAAATCTCTGGTCTTGTCTTCCTCCTGATCAACTCTAGTTTCTACATCCCATCCACAACAGATCAGATGTTCAGCAAAACATGAATTTGTAAAGACAATACTTAAGAAAAAAGTACACCAAAAGAATATTGACCAGCATCAAAGAAAATGGCAGGACAGAAGAAAAACAGAAGATTAAAGATGAGTAAGTACTGGGAAGTTCAGACATACTTAGAGGAGAAATGTGAGAAAGAGGAAGAAAATGTCAAAATGGCTTAGACAAGTTTTCTTTGCATTATGAAAGCAACAAAAAGGTGACATGATAAACTGTAGAAAAATTCAGGAAGAGAGGAAAATATTTTGCCCACTGTTATCACATCACTGTGCAAACAGACAGCCCTTCAATTTTAGGAAAGATGATTCTTTGGGATACATCCAAAAACTAACTCACACATTTTACATTTAAAATAGAAATGATTGAAAAACAGAGTAGAGAATATTCTTTTTTCTTTTCTTTAACATTCTCCCCACAAACTTTCATGGAAATTAGCCCTAATAGTTTTAGCGGGTTTTTGGTTTTTAAAGAAATTAAATCTGGTGGATACTCAGGTCTCCAATCCTAACCTACCCAGTTCAACATGCATACACACATGCTGAGAAGGCTTCTGCTGATTTCACTTCATGACTTGGCTCAGGGGTTTGCTTCAGAAGCTGCTATATATTCTGTTTAAATCTAGTGGTTCTAAAATTTCCCTTGCAAGGAGAAGGATTAAAATACCCTGTTTTCCAGGAACACAAGCAATTTACCTGAAATGCCAGAGACCCCACACAACTGAGACACAATGTGCAGGCACAGGTTTTTCAGAGCCCAAAGGCAGAGTGCTGCCTGAGGCCTCTGGTGTTTATAGATTAGGTATGTCTATTGCATCTCTGTATGATTCCCCTCCAGTCTTTAGTGGGCTTCATCTTCTAATCATTTTTCTACACCAGCTGTTCTTTGAATAACCTTCGACTTGCTGAATAAGCTCCCATTTTTCTTCATACATAATTTCTCTTTTTTTTTTTTTTTTTCTAAGATCAAGTCTTTCTTGGAGAAAAAGAACAAAAACTAGAAAAAAAGAATTTAAATTACAATGAAGATGATCATCCTTCAGCCAGGATAATTATCAAAACTTGCTGAATGCCTAGCTGAGAACACATAACAGCACACTTTGCTCATTTGTCACTGTTTTACAGGCTGCACATTTCTGACTGATGCTACTCCCTAACCACAGATCCAACTTTCTATGTTTGTATATTTATTTCTTTCATCATGAATCATCTTATAGCTGTCTCTATAGAATCTTGTACTATTGATTAAAAAAAAAACCAACAAAAAACATTGATTTATCAACATCTTCTGTACAGCAACACTTCCAGATCATCCACTGTGGTGATTTTACCAATGAAGAATATGTTTGCCTCAATATTAGTATAAAAACAAGAGGCAAAGAAGCCATTGAGAGATATTTATTCTATATAGATGCTTTATGTAGTTTCTTTTATGAAAATAAAAATATTTCCATGCAAGAAACTCTTGTAGAAGTTGCTGAAATAATAAAATTTTGCAATTTCATTAAATTTTAATTTTAATAACATAGTCATGGGGCAAAAAAACCCAACACACTAATTAATAGCTTGCTGTCACGACAAACAGTGAAATACTCCATCAGTCCTGTATGTATAAACTTTCCTTTGAGGATTAATTATAGATAGAACATAGGATTTTCACGCTTTCAGAATCAGTAACTTTAGATCAGCTTCCTATAAGGGGCTGAGGATTTTTTTTCTCTCAAACAAGTAACTAGGGCATCTCTAAAATATTATTAAATAACTATCTAAAATCTTGCATTGAAAAGGATTAAAGGAATGGAATGCACACGTTCTGACATTAAGAGGACATACATGGGTAGCTCTTCAACTTTTTTGATCTGGTGGTTTTTTATAACATCTATGTTTTGCAAAGTTTTATTGATTTTTTTTCCACATTTTCAGTCATAAAATGGATAAAAACCCAACATGTCCAACAGGACCACCTGATAAAATACTGTATATCAAAAATAAGGGGATACAGAGAATTGGCACAACATTCCATGCTCTACAACTGCTATTGCATATTCCTGTCACAGAGGCAATCTAATCACCAAGCCACCAGTTGGGTGAAGACTTCCACCCTGCTATCATTAGCATCTGCCTCTCCACAGCTGAATAGAAGAGCTTTTTTATTATTATTCTAACATAAAAAAAAAAAGTTCAATCTCATGTTTCCAACCTGGTCTCCAAAGTCCTCTGGGAACTTCCACAGTACCACTGGATCTGTAAATAATTGACAGACAGCATTAATCAGAGGCAAAGGAACAGAGTATTACAGTCAGAGTACATTAATATTAAAGAGAGGGTCAGCTTAGCATCAAGCTTTGAGGCAAGTGCAAAAATATATCTAAAAACTAAGGAAGATACTGGATTATTAAAAAGACTTATTTCATATTTATGAAACTGTACATTTATTGTTTTACATATGGCAGCAGGTAATAATGTACCAAATTCTTTTCATATTCAACTCTTTATTCCTGGAATACCTCATTCTTTAAGCATATTTAATTTTCACTTTTTAAATCAATTAAGAAATAGAGATGGAAAACCTCTTTTCATCCTAGGGAAAAAGAACAGAAAATTGTAAGTGGAAGAAAAGGCCTTTATGAAGGTACAGAAAAACATCCTTTGTGGTTTTAAAGATAGTACCAATATAACCAGCATTCTCAAGGAAGAGTTTAGACAAGCTAGCATGTTTCAGTATTTACTGTTCAGTCATTTAAAACCAGCATTTTGATACCTCAAAGTTTTCATTAACATCTTGTAAACTGCTAATTACAAAAATAATCAGTTATTTAGGCTACATATTAGTCTCCACTTAATATTGTTTTGAAAACCTCTATCACAATGATTGGAATAATTTCAAAGCTTTTCAAAAGACACAGATGATGATCTTCATCCTGCTCCCCCACAAAGCTTTTAATCTCCTTTGATACAAACCCTTCCGGAGGTGCTACTGTTACATGGCCACAAACACTCAGGAAGCCTCACAGGCTTCTAAAACAACAGGTCAGCAGCAGTGTTTGTCCACCTGCTAGAAGGGCAATGATGCACCTTCCTGCAAGGGAGAGCAGGGCAGAGCAGGAGCCTGGACCAGCGGCGGAGCTCTCCAATTGCTGCTCGTGCCCCAGCCGTGGTCAGGCACATCCTCCGGCCGCTGACCATGCAGCCAGAGCAGCTCGGCGTGCCCGAGGACAGGAAAACAAAGGAGAAGCACAACAGCAAGTGCCAGGACACTGCCTGATGGGAACTGCCACCTCTTGTCTGCCTCAGGAGCTGCTGGACCCAGTCTTCCAAGGGAAGAATGTCTGGGAAACTCTTCAGATTTCCACTTCAGACACTAATATCATCACTGCGTGGTAACTCAGAAACTTCCTTCTCATTGCTATGTTTGACATCAGAACCACAGGGTTTTTCCACTTTCAGCAAAGTACGGAGGTTTCTACTCTTTGTCAGGTTCTATGTGTTTGCTGGTGCAAACTGGAGATTTAATGAGAAGGGAAATGCCACTGCTGGTGGTGCCATTCCCAGCTGCTGATCTCAAATCCTACTGCTCAGCACGGAGGCGTCTCACGTGTACATTTCCCACTGGCCCAGCCACCAGGAGCTGGAGACCAAAATCAGCATTCTTCCCTCACCCCAGGCCAGATCTTAAGCCAACAGTAGAATATATATTTCAAACGTGTAACAGAATTCAACTTGTCAATCAACTCAATGCAACTTAGACCTAATCTGTATCCAATTATCCAATTTAAATCTAAGTGAGATTTTCAATAAAAATTGAGGCATTTGACTCTACTTGTTGGACAAGCTTGTTTTTTCTCCTAAGAACACCCAGGAAGGGTTCTGCAGCTATTATTTAATAAAATGCGTGTATTTTGCACAAGGAATCTTCCTCCATTACTATGGGGAGCAAGAACTTTTGAAGGCAGATACAAAACGAGAGATAAATGCTAAGTTTGTAAGAATATAAGAGCAAATAAATACAGGTACTTACAACAAAGACCTTTCTTTCCTGATCTATTTCTATGTATTTAAATTGCAAGCAAATCTCTATAATGACCAGATACAAAAGCAGTTTGACTATCCTGTAAAGGAACTGTTCTTTTATTCCAAATCAGTATTATGAAAAAGGAAGCAATTATGTATGAACAACAATCCCTGATAAAGCCAAGGAGCAGAAAGTATGGTAGTATATCAAATACTTGATGTTAAGTAATCCATAAATTACTTGCTCAAAAGCACTGAAAACTTGCAGAATCAAAAAAACACTTCAACAGAGCTTGTAAATCTAATGCCATATGTCCACAAACATTTCAAGCATAAATTTCTCTTTGGAAGAGCAATCCCTCTGCACTCCCACTACCAGGTACTTGGTGAAGCTGTAGCACTGTCTGTCTCCTGCTGGTGCAGACTGTGACAGCTACACAGAGCCAGATGAGGGAACTGGCCGAGATCAAACCAACTGTCTGAAACTTTCCAGGGCAGTGTTAACTAGATCAGTTCCCCAAAACCATTGGGTTTGCAATAGGAAAAAAGGAAGAAAAACTGGGGAATGAGGAGCTGTGGTGAGAAAAAAGCAGGACTACTTCATGTGGCAGCGTTTGCTACAGCTCGTGCAATACAAGCTGGTTAGCAGCTGCCTCTAGTTCCGTTTCTTATCACCTATTTCTTGTTCACAACTTCCCTAGACTTGCAGTACCATTTATAGCTGCTTCTATTGCAAAACCCAAGCACTATGGCCTGTGAGGAGGTGAGGGGACCGCGCTGCAGTGAGGCCAGGCTGCCAGAGCATCACCAGCCAGGAGCTCAGCAACATCACCTCTTCCCAGCAGTGAAGCCAGGCGATGATTTTGGCAGATGTGAAGTACAGTTACATGAGAAACATTAAGTATAGTGAATGCTTTAGCAACACAGTGACAAAATCACTGAGGTTTCTGAAATCGGACAGAAACGTAATTTCTTTTGTTCAACTCTCCTTAGTGCAAATGTAACTGCAGGGCTTCAAAATAGGAGGGAGATCGCAACAGCAAAACCTCCGGGTATTGTTTTAAAAGGTCACAGTCTTGAGCAAAGTACAATCTCAGAATTAAGCAAAACTTTGGGTTTGGGGGTCAAAACATGGGTAAAATTTACACTTCAGTGAGGGGCCAACAGAGCTAACAGCATTTCACAGGGCCACCCTGTATCTACAGGCAACAAGATCAACAGCTTCAGTAAGTTCTTTTAGAGTCCTGATATCACAACAGACAATAAACCCCTAAAACTTTAATTTAGTGTCCTGCTCATCTTGTTGTTTTCACTTCATACTAAGGCTCTCTCATACTACTCCAGCCTCACATGAAATGGTAAAACAAAACTAAAGCAAATTCCAGTTTGCTCAGCTATAGGTGTAACATTTACTTGCCTATCATGAAAGGCTATTTTACATCAAGAGAGGATAATGAAATTCATATCATCTAAACAGGAAGAACAATGCTTTTAATACTCCTTCATGAAAACAAAAAAGATCCAACATTAAAAAAAATATTCCTAACTCAATCCAAGAAAAACATTCGGTGCTGCACTCAGCAAAAATTACATGCCTTCAAGACTTGTCCAACTGCTTTGAGCTGGGTTTTGCAGCTGTTTTTACTGGCTTTTAACAGGTCATTTTAGTAGGTACTTGCCATGCATTTATTAAGTAAGAAAATCTGATGTGACTTGTGCTTCAAAAAGAAAAGTTACTATGTTCTTTTTATGCCTTCACTCTCTGAAACCAAACCCTAACACCTCTAAAAAGCCTCAGGATTTTATGATAATTATCCAAGTCTGGGACTGGAGTTTTTTTCAAAAGATTATGTTGGTTTCTGCTTTTGGAGCTGGGCTCAGGAAGCATCTGACACATCTTTGGGACAACTTCTCAAAAGGGCTGCAGAGGAAGAAACAAAAGGTTTCTTTAGATTGATTTAGAAATAAAAAGAGAAAGCATAATCCGATTCTGCAACTGTATGCACTCTATCTTCAGGTTTACAAAGACTGAATTTTCTTTCCCCTGAGGATTACTTTCCAGATATTCTGTCTGATCTGGCAATGTTAGGTCAATTTTATGCTGATTTTATGGGTGAGAGGATGAGAACTGCTCAGAAATAGCTGTTGTTAAAGTCAGCTGAGGAGCTACTGAATTTCTCCTAATTCACTTTTCCTAACAGACTTTTCAGGTCAAATGGTTTGCACCAATTCTAAGTAAATGTAGCAGTAAAGGGAAATAAAATAGTTTGTGTGGTATATGTATAAATGTATATATACTGTTGCATGTGTAAATGGATATTTTTGTGAACAAACAGCACTTTTTTCTATGCCTACCACATCCAGGACATAAATCTCAGCACCTGTCAGTAACACTTGAAAATTCCTTTGCTACATATCCTACAGCATTAGAAAGGACATCTCCCTTGGTAAGAGCCAGATGAGAGATGATCATGGAAAGGTTTGCTGAGGTACCAAAAGAGTGCAGTGCAATTACAAAGAGAAAAGCAAGTCACATGCAATGCTTAAAAAAAATTAGTATTCAAGGTGTAATCTAGAACTGCTTTGAAGATAAATGCAGGGAACTGTGACACCCACTAAGACAAGAGGAAAACATATCCAGATCCTCAAGGTAATTCCTCTCCAAAAGTTTATTCCTGTAGAGACAAGGTCATAAAGCATGTCATCTATATTTTCAGGAAAACAACTTCTAACACACTTTAACTTCTACAACAAATCCAAGAAAATATAAAGGTACTATTTATCATGACAGAATGGATTAGAGAAGCAATGCAGTCTAAACTACAAAAAAGGGAAAGCTTTCTAGCTTGTAACTTTCCCAAAAACTGACAAGTTAAATACACTCTAAAAATACTCTTCATAATCATCAAGCTCACAGATTACAAATGTCACACAAAAATACAATAGGATAAGGTAATTAGCCCACATTCAATTTGGTAATGAAACAGAAATTACAAACACATGCTGAGAAACATCATCTTGGGAAATTCTCTTGGATAGCAACAGAAAATATTTCAGACAGGAAAATACAGCTAAGGTAAAATGAAACAGATTCATTAAGTAGTCCAATATTCTGGAGAGAGGAGGAATCTTCATCCCTGTTGGTTGTACTGAGCAGAACAGACAAAAAGACTGCCAAACAGAGTTGGTCATGCTTGGGACAGAGGAATGGACTAGATAATTGCTCAGTATTC